AAGCTCACATTCACGGGTTAATCGCAAGTTAAATTTTAATTCAAATTAAGTGCTAAACGCACGGACCCTTAATTTAAAATTGTAATTTCGTGCTCGCACTGAGGGAATTTGGTTTCTGAACACATTAATATTTCAAGTAACAGTAAATATTTCAAAGGGACGTTTTAATTAAAGGGTCGAAGGTTATTTCGATGGAATTTCGGCCTGGAAGTGTAGGCCAACAAATTTCGCTTCTTTGGGAAATTATACAATTCGAAAAATCAAAAATACAAGAAATCGAAAAACAAAATAAAAAAAAACGAAATTGAAAGGTCGAAAAATTTTAAAAATTAAATATTAAAAAATTTTGAACTCAAACATCCCAAAGGAAAAATTAAAAAATTGCGAAATTGAAGAATCGAAAACTCGAAACATCGAAATCTCGATAATTCAAGAAATCGAAAAATTAAAAAAAAAAAATAAATAAATAATGGGAAAACTTATTAATCTAAAACAGAGGAGTCGAAAAATAGGAAGATCGAGAAAACGACTTTCCAATTTTTTTATATTTCGATTTTTAGAATTTCGAAGTTCGGTTTTTCAATTTATTTCCTTTTCAATTTCCCGATTTTTCAGTTTTTAATTTGTTATTCTTTTCGATCTTCAATTTTTAATCTTTCTATTTGTCGCATTTCCGATTTTTCATTTTTTACATTCTTCAGCTTTTAGACGTTCCAATTTTTTTACTTTTTGATTCCCCGAATTTTCGATTTTCGGTTTTTCTATTTTTCGGAGTAGTTATTCACGCCATGTAATATCAAACTACAGAAGAATCGAAAAACTGAAAAGTCAAAAACATGAGGAATTGAAAAGCCTAAAATTATAAAAATATATCGAAATTAAAGTTAAAAAATTTTAAAAATGGAAAAACCGAGATGTGAAATCGGAAATTCGAAAAATCGAAAAAGTGAAATATTAAAAAAATCGAAACACCAAAAAAACGAGAAATTTAAAAACCGAATAATCCAAAATTTTAGAATTGGAAAAATTGAAAGATCTAAAACAAGAGTCGAGAAATCGAAACTAAAAAATTTACTTTTCGATTTTTCGATTCGACTTTCCGATTTTTGATTTTTAGAATATTTGATATGTCGAATTTTCAATATTTAGAATTTTCAATTTTTTTTGTTTCCGACTTTTCGATTTTCCATACTAGAAATTTTAATCTTTCTACTTGTCGAATTTCCGAATTTTCAATGTTTACATTCCTCATCTTTTAGACTTTTTTGATTTTTTGATTTCTCGGGTTTTCGATTTTTTGACTTTCCAGAAGATTTTTCTACTTTTTCAATTGTTTTTTTTTTCGGAGCATTATTTACGGCACTTGTATTTACTTTATAGAGGTTATCACAAAATAAAAATAAAAATTAAAAAATCTAATTTTACATTTTCTCAAAATTCTAAAAATGGAAAAATTGAACACTGAAAAATCTAAAGCAGTGGAGTCGAAAAATTGAAAGATCGAAAAATTGAAAAATCTAAGATTGGCAAATCCAAAAATAGAAAAATTGAAGAACTAAAAAATCGAGAAATCGAAAACTTTAAAATTTAAAATACATACATAGAAAATTTAAAATATTAAAAAACAGAAAATTCGAAAAATTGGAAAATAGAGAAATTGAAACATTAAAAAATGACAATAGAAAAATTTACAATACAAAATTTTTTTAAATATCAAAAATGGAAACATCTAGAAATCGAAAAATTGAAAGCCCAAAATAAATTAAAAAATTCGAAAAACCGGAAAACAGAAAAATCAAAGTACTGCAACAGCGAGAATTCGAAAAATTCAAAACAATAAAAAAAATTAGAAAAATTAAAATATACAGAAACTGAAGAATCAAAAAATTGAAAAATCTCGAGAAATCCAAACATTAAAAAAATCGAAAAATTGAAAATTCGAGAAATCGAAATGTCCAAAAATCGAAAATTTTAAAAATCAAAAATTCAATCCATCAGTCAAAGATTAAAAACCTGAAAATACGTAAAATTGAAGAACTGAAAAAGTACCGAAAAGTGGAGAAATCGAGAAATGGGAAAAAAATCGAGAAAATGAAATTCGAATAATCGAGAAATCAAAAATTCGAAAAATCGGCAAATCTAAAACTTAGAAACGACAATAACTGAAATTTTGAAAAACAGAAAAACAAAAATTGAAGAACTGAAAAAATTTAAAACTGAAATAATGAAAGAACGAGAAATTGAAACATTAAAAAATTGAAAAATTTAAAATTTTAAAAATCAAAAAATGGAAATATCTAGAATCGAAAAATTGAAAGCCCCAAAATAATTTCAAAATTCGAAAAACTGGAAAACAGAAAAATCAAAGTCTGCAACAGCGAGAATTCGAAAAATTCAAAATTAAAAAAAAAAATAGAAAAATAAAAATATACAGAAACTGAAGAATCAAAAAATTGAAAAATCTCGAGAAATCCAAACATTAAAAAATCGAAAAATTGAAAAATCAAGAAATCGAAATGTCGAAAAATCGAAAATTTAAAAAATCAATCCATAAGTTAAAGATTAAAAACCTGAAAATACGTAAAATTGAAGAACTGAAAAAGCAACGAAAAGTGGAGAAATCGAAAAATGGGAAAAAAAATCGAGAAATCGATAAATCTAAAACTTAGAAACGACAATAACTGAAATTTTGAAAAATAGAAAAACAAAAATTGAAGAATTGAAAAAATCTAAAACTGAAATAATGAAACAATGAGAAATTGAAACATATAAAAATTGAAAAATTGAAAGTACAAAAAAATTTAAAAATTCGAAAAATTAAAAAAAAAATCGAAGAACTGCAACATCGAGAAACTGGAGAATAAAAAAACTGAAAAATCTCGAGAAATCGAAACATTAAAAAATAAAAAAAGTGAAAAAAAAAACAGAAATCGAAATGTCGAAAAATCGAAAATTTAAACAATCAAAAAATTCAATCCATCAGTCAAAGATTAAAAACCTAAAAATACGTAAAACTGAAGAATTGAAAAAGCACCGAAAAGTGGAGAAATCGAGAAATGGGAAAAAATCGAGAAATCGAAAATTGGAAAAATCGGCAAATCTAAAACTTAGAAACGACAATAACCGAAATTTTGAAAAATAGAAAAATTGGAAAATCAAAAAAATAAAAAAACTGAGAAATCAAAAATTTGAAAAATCGAAAAACAAAAATTGAAGATTTGCAAAAATCTAAAACTGAAATAATGGAAGAATTGAAATTGAAACATTAAAAAATTGAAAAATTGAGTGTACAAAAAAATTTAAAAGTTCGAAAAATTCAAAAATAAAAAAATCTCGAGAAATCCACACATCAAAAAATAAAAAAAATTGAAAAAAACAGAAACCGAAATGTCGAAAAGTTGAAAATTTAAAAAATCAAAAAATTCAATAAAAGATTAAAACCTAAAAATATGTAAAATTAAAGAATTGAAAACCATCGGAAAAGTCGTAAAAATCGAGAAATGGGAAAATAAAAAAAATCGAAAAATCGAAAACTTAAAAACCAGAATAATTGAAATTTTGAATGGAAAAATTGAAGAATTAAAACATCAATCGTAATACTGAAATATACGAAAATCGAGAATCGAAAAAAAACATTGAGAAATCGAAAATTTTTGAAAGATCGAAAAGAAAAAATCCAAAACTGAAATACTGAAAGAAGGAGAAACTGAAACATTAAAAAACCGAAAAATAGAAAAATTAAAAAAAAAGGAAAAATTAAAATATTGAGAAACTGAAAAATCAAAAAATGGAAAAAAAAACAAATCGAAATGTCGAAAAATTAAAATTAAAAAAATATAAAATTTCAAACAGTCAATTTAAAATCCTGAAGATCCGTAAAATTGAAGTGTTGAAAAACCATGGAAAAGTCGAGAAATCGAGAAATGGGAAAATAAAAAAAACAGAAATTGAAAATCCGAAAAATCGGGAAATCGAGAAACGGGAAAAATCGGAAAATCAGGAATTCGAAAAATTGAAGAATAAAAAAATTGAGTAAGTAACCGAAAATGTGAAAAATCGAAAAAAAAAATGAAGAATTGAAAAAATCCAACACTGAAATATTGACAGAACGAGAAAGAGAAAATTTTAAAAATAAAAAAATCGAAACATCTAGAAATCGAAAAAATGGAAAGTCCAAAAAAATTTAAAAATTCTAAAGATGGAAAAACAAAAAAATCGAAGAACTGCAACATCGAAAAATCGAAAATAAAAAAAAAAGAAAAATTAAAATATCGAGAAACCGAAGAATCGAAAATCGAAAACTTAGAAACGGCAGAAATTGAAATTTTGAAAAAGGAAAAATTGGAAAACCAAAAAATTGAAGAATTGTAAAATGAAATATCCGGAAATCATGAATCGAAAAATAAAAAATTGAGACATTGAAAATTTGAAAAATTGAAGAACTGAAAAAATGCAAAACTGAAATATTGAAAGACCAAAAAATTGAAAAATAAAAAAACCGGTAAATCGAGAAATACGAAAATTGTTATAAAAATTTCGATGTCTAGGATACTCGTACTCTAGGGGTCATGAAACGTCGAGAAATCATAAGAGTAGCCAGTCGGTCAATGGACTCGATTACAATACTTCCTTAACATAACGGGAAGTATTTTAGAAACCACAATTATATTTTGGTATATTTTTCTTCCGGTGTTCTACAAGGATGCGTCTTTGACTGTTGCTATTTTTAATAAACGCAACTGATCTAAAATTTATTAAATGTTGTCTTCGCACGTTATTTCAAACTTAATTTCAACCATACTCTACTAATGTGGCGTAATTCAATGAAACAAATGTGTTCACTCAATATTTCCTTCCCGTTTAGCACAATTAGCGGATATTTGTTTCTCACCTAATTATGTTATAACACGTTTTGCGTCTATAACGTTTTGATACTTATTTTATGAATGTTTCTACTACTATTGCTTAATCTAAGACACATATAGTTGGCTATCACTTACGTGGGTGTTGGTTGTTGACTTCCAGGCGTGAAAGGTGAATCATTAGCGTCGTAGAAGTCGTCTTCTCCCTCCGAACTCGAATATGACATGGGCGGCACGACAAGACCGGTCGCCGCCGCAGGATGCACCAATTCTAGAATTTCGACTCGCTTTTACACCACCTAATGACTACACCACCGCAATTCGTTTTACTTTTAGAACTCTGGCACGAAATTGCATCACTTTCGGTAAAATGATGTCAGTAGACTTAATCGCGAATAAATTCGGACCCGACGTCCCTCCCTGCGTCACACCCACCGAATCAACGGAACGAAACATCAATAATTAACCCAACTTGACACAACCGTCAACTGACTGAACTGTCACACGTGTGAAAAATTTCGCTTACCCAGGCTGTGGCTGTGCCGCCTCGATTCCACGCATTCCGAGCCCAATTCGATGCCTTGCTGGACGACAGTTCCCACGGGACCCGAGTCTGGGAAAAAATTACTCATCTGTCAATCTCGAGCACCCACTTACCTCCTAAATTAGGTGATATGTTTGACGAAGCGGGTATTGGTCGTGCTTGGTAGATGCCGTTGATTGGATGCGCCGTATTCTGGAAGCAAACCCGTGAAGAAGGCGTCCACACAACCCACGACTTACCTTCGCTATCTGGAGAAGCACGATCGAGTGCTTGATGTTGTCGAGCATCACCTGCAAACCCAGCGTTAATCCCCACTCCAAATCCCCACCACTTTACCGCAGTATAAAACTCACGTTCGCGTGGTCAGCTATCACTTGGCACTTGGCTTTCTCGTCGACGTCGGTCATCGCTTTGATCCGCTCCTCCAGATTCTGCAACCGCGCTATTGACACTCAATACGCAATGAGAACCCTTCACTTACCTTCGTTTGGTCGATCATGATCTGCAAGTAGGCGTCGGCTTCCGATACTTTGTTGTCGAAGTCTTTGATGGTGGGCGGCGGTCGGTGGTTATCCCACAACGTCTGCACAAACTTTTAGAACCACGACTACTCAACTAGGGTTAATCTTACGCGGTTTCCGTGCCTGAAGATCGTGTCCTCCAGAGCTCGCACCCACTTCTCGCGCTCCTCGGCGTCGCGTGCTTGGAAGTGGAAGGTTTTGTGGTCGACGGTGATGGTGAAGGTGCTGTCGTCTTCGTCGTCGATGCCGATGACTGCTCCTTTGAGCCGGACGCAGCCGCGGCGGGCGCCTCGCATCATTTTCTCCTTGGACTGCAAGAGGGAGCGGTTACAATGAAAGCGTCGCGGGTACTAACCTCGAAAATTTTTTTCAGGAAATTGAGGGGCTTCTGGTGGGTGGGTTTTGGGGGCGGCATGGTGGTGGTGGTTTGTTTATATGATGACGAAAATTTTGACCGATGACAACGAAAATGACAGGTGAATGAAGTTTTGAAGAGGTTGTGTGGCGACTGGGTTGGTGGCTTGACGGTTTGAGTTTTGGAAGTGGAAGGGTTATCTGAGAAAAGTAGTTCTGTGGTAAATGACGTAGAATTGACGTTTGGGTTCTGTTTCTGCAGTAACGCGAAATGAAAGTCAAACTTTGGTCTACATCAGGTCAGGTCATCAGAAAGAAGGTCAAATCAAGCCACTTGATGAGACAAGATCATCATAAAGAAGAGTCAGTCGTTAGATTTAAGCTCTGACTCTTTTAAGGGAACGTGGGTGCGAATCCCACACCTGACAGTTTTTTTTTTTGCGTTTAAGAGGCAGGACATACTCAACGCCCAGAGGCAGGGTGGGAATCCCTTAAGAAGGAACGCTAGACGAGAGACAAGTTTGAATTGGGCGCCATTTGTTGCCTTAAACGCAACCAGCAATTCTTCTTTAAATTTACCTGACGCGCTGGGATAGACGACTACCGGACGTGGGTCATAAAAGTATCGTAAGCCGATAATGCAGAATAATGATAATTTATGACACAACATACCTTCAGCACAGAATAATCATTTCTCGTATTCTTTTGACATATTAATTTTAATATTCGAGATAATTATTGTATTATTCAAACACAACTTAGACACTGTAGAGCAAACAAGGCTTATCAAGCCCGTCTATTAGTTTATTCGCCTAAATGTATTATTAATACCGTTTTCAAATTACACCAAAATTGAAAAATCGAAAACTTAATAATTGAAAAATTGAAACATTTTAAATGAAAAAAATCGGTAAACCGAAAAATTGAAAAATCTATAAATCGAGAAATTGAACAATCTAAAAATTAAACAATTTAAAAATCGAAGAATTGGAAAACCAAAAAATCTAAACCGAGAACTTGAAAAATCGAATAATCGAGAAATCAAAACATCAAGGAAAACAAAAAAATTAACGGAAAATCTAGAACTTAAAAATCGAAAAATTAAAATACCTATCGAAAAATTGAAAAACGAGAAATCGAAATGTCAAAAAATGGAAAAATTGAAGAACCGAAACATTGCAAAATCGCAGAACTGAAATACTGAAAAACTGAAAAATGGAAGGAAAATTGAAAAATCGAAAAAGTGAAAAAATTCAAAACTGAAATCTTGAAAAACTGAAAAATGGAAAGAAAATTGAAGAATCGGAAAAGTGAAACAATCCAAAACTGAAACATTGACAAATCCAGAAATCGAAAAATTGAAAAATCACAATTGAAGAAAGAATTGAAAAATCAATAAATAGAGAAATGGGAAAATCAAAAAATCAGTTAATCGAAAAATTGAAAGATCAAAAAAATTAGAAACGTCAAAAATTGAAACCTGGAAAATAAAAAAAATTAAAAATCGTAAAACTGAAATATCGTAAAATTAATAAATTGAAAAACCGAAAATTTTTGAAAAAAAAAAAATCGTATCAAAAACTAAAAATTCAAAAAATCGAGAAATTGAACAATCAAAAAATCAAAACATTGAAATCCCAGTAAGTTGATAAATAGGAAAATTTAAAAAATCCAAGAATTGAACAACAAAAAAATCTAAAATTTAAAAATTAGAAAAATTGAAAAATCATGGAACTGAAAAATCGAAAAGTCCAGATAGTGAGAAATCTAAAAACCTAAAACTTTAAAAACTGAAAAATTAAAATATCGAAAAATTTAAAAACCGAGAAAACACAATGTCAAAAATTTGAAAAATTGAAGAAACGAAATATTGCAAAATTCCAAAGCTGAAAAATTGAAAAACCTAAAAATGGAAGGAAAATTAAAGAATCGAAACAGTGAAAAAACCCAAACTGAAACATTGAAAAATTGAGAAATGGAAAAATGGGAAAATCAAAAAAATTGGTCCAAAGAGTTTAGACAGTACTTCCCTCGCTATCGGAAACGTGACGACTGCATGCCTATTATGTTTTTTTTTCACATTAGATTTCAAAGCATTCGGTTTTGTAGTTCCTGATTAAATCAATAAAAGAAATTTTCGCATTCATTAAATTTTTTGAGTCACCCTGTATATGCATATCCACAAAATATGAATGGAATGACAAATTACAAAAAGAGACTCATCATATTTTGTAAATTTTAAATATAATATAATTTTTAATATACGGCAAACTTTTGAGCTGACGTCATCAATTTTTTGGAAGGGATACGCAAATATATTTTGACCAAAAATTTATTATGCGCTTTATAACCTTAAAACATTTGCGAAATTTCATTAATTGATGATGATTAAATCAATAAAATAAATTTACGCGTTCATTAATTTTTGGGGTCATCCTGTATATGCAAATCCAAAAAACATGAATGGAATGATAAATCACAAGAAGCGACTCATCATATTTTATACAATTTAGATAGGATTTATTCAGCAAAATTTTGAGGTGACGTCATCAATTTTTTATAGGGGATAAGTAAATATATTGTGATTAAAACGGTCCTGGTTTAATAACAAAAAAATATTGTTCGTCTATAAAACAAGCTCGTCTTAAACAAAGTATTCGTAAAAAAAATATGTCGTAAAAAAATTTACGTATGCTGGTCCCGACTGCGATTATGGTTTAAATATTTTTTAGAAAATCCTATCATGGATGTAGAAACATTTGTGACAGCCAAAGAGGTTTTTTTGCGAAAATTATCTCTGAATTTAGACCAAATTGAAATAGACACTAGACAACAGGCACATTTGGGCAAAAGAAAGAGGCTTCAAATTTTGGACGTATTTACAAACTTAGACCGACTACAGCAATAGCTAAAACTATGGAGTCTCTGTTTTACAGTACATTTAGAGGTAATAGTCGTACATGCTATGGACAACAAAGTGAGGAAAAAGCTGTCAAGTGTTTTGAAATAAATAAAAATATAAAAACTGAACGGTGTGTCTTGTTTATTTCAAAACAATTTCCTTACTTGGCTGCTAGTCCAGACAGGGTCCTAGAGGATAGGAGTGCATTAGTCGAAATTCAAAATCGCAAGATTTGTCTCCCGAAGAAGCGGTTAGAAAAAAAATAATCAATTTTGTACATTGACAGAGAATTGAAACTAAAAAAAATCATGATTACTACTTTCAAGTCCAGGGACAAATGCTTGTTACGGGTATTTCACAAGTTTATTTTGTTGTAAGGACACCCAAAGGACAAAATATAGAAAAAATGTATAAAGACGAAGAAATATATGTAAAAAGATGGCAGATAAACTTGGCAGATTTTACTTTGGCGCATTATTGCCCGAAATAATTGATTCAAGAAGAAAGAGGAACCTGCCTTTGCGAGAGATTTTTTTAAAATAAATAAAATTTGTTTCTATTTTTTTATGTACTTTAATAATTTATTAGGAGTACATTTTTCACCACCAAGACTTGCATATTTTTACTACAAATATATTTTGAAAATGATCTCTCGGCAAATGAAAACATATACGAGCACTTTCTTCGAGTAAACAATGAAGGGAGAAGTTACTGGATGTAAGGCTTTTTTAAAACACCTCCTTTTTGGGATAAGTAGTAGATACACTTAGGGCCGGTTGCATAAACGCAAATCAAAAATTTGATTATTGTTAAATCCAGTTAACAATCATCAAGTCACATAATGCGTTGCTCAAACGCCAATCAGTTGATGTTCATCAAATTTTTTGATGACAATCAAATCCATACGTCAAATACAGAAATCACCAATCATCCGTTGCATAAACGCCAATCAAGGACTTGATTAGCATCAAAACGCATTTTGATTAACGATTAGTTAATTATCCGAAAAGCAGTAATTAAAGTTTGACAGCTGGCGGTTTTACAGCAATTCGACTCCTAAAAACCGAAAATAAATACAAAAAAGGTTCAATTAAATTTTATTCAGGTAATTTTAAATACATGTGAAATATACTTTTTGTTGTAACAGCTGTAAATTGTAGTTTACCTCAAAATGTCCGTGTCCTTAACGTTAACGTCCTCCAGTTCCTCTGACGATTCCGATGTTCCTGTTCCTAGAAGACCTCGAATTTTTCGAGACAGGTCCGACCCTTTCGATAGGTACGACGATATCGACTTTAAGCAAAGGTATCGGTTTTCAAAAAATAGCGTGGTGGAAATTTTAAATCAGATTGGAGACCGGTTAGATCCCTTGACAAACCGTAACAAGGCTCTAAACAGTAGAGAACAACTCTTGATTTGTCTCAGATTCTATGCAACAGGAGCGTTTCAACAATTAATTGGGGACTCTGTTTTGGTACATAAATCAACAATTTCAAGAATAATCTACAAGGTCTCCAAGGAAATACTGCGATTGAAGGGCGACGTGTTGAAAATGCCTACCTTGCAGGAAATACCAACAATACATAGAAAATTCTTCGAAATCCGGGGTTTTCCGTGTGTCATAGGGGCAATAGACGGTACGCATATACCAATCCAATCGCCAGGTGGACACTTGGCTGAAACTTATAGATGCCGAAAAGGTTTTTTTTCGCTCAATGTCCAAGTAGTTTGTGACGCGGAGCTTCAAATACGACATATCATAGCTCGCTGGCCAGGATCTGTCCACGATTCCACCATTTTTAATGACTGTCCGTTACCTCCTGAATTAGAACGAGGCATGTATGGCGCTGGATATCTTCTTGGAGACAGTGGCTACGCATGCAAAAGATATCTTTTGACGCCCTTCATTAATCCAAGAAACAGGGCTGAGGAAGCATATAATGCTTCCCACAAAGCGACCAGAAACACAGTTGAAAGGTGTTTTGGAGTTTTGAAACGTCGCTTTCCAGCTTTGTCTATGGGATTGCGACTAAAAATGAAAACTAATATGATGGCAATCGTCGCCTGTGCAATTTTGCATAACCTGGCAATTATTTTTAAAGATGACTGGCCAGAAGATCACCTTGAAATTGAGGAAGACGATGAAGTCATAGGTGGTGACCCCATGGAAGGAAATTTTGCTATGAGAACTCACCTTGTAAATACTATATTTGCAGAAAGAGTTTAACAAAAATGTTTAATAATGATTATTATAAAACTAAAAAAAAACTCTTCGATTTCCAATTATTGAATTTGAATTTTCCAATTCGATTTCTACTTTTTTAATCTGCAAATATTTTAATTGTAAGCCTTTTTGAAAGTTTTTGTTTGTGTTTATTTTGCAAATTCACTAAAAATTATTTTCATTTGTATATTTTTTATTTTTTATTACACTGTTTTTCTTGGAAAGGGGGATTTTATTTTTCTCGTTCGGAATGGAGGAGGCAGGGCTATGAGGTTCAGGATTTCCTGGAAAAAAAATGCGTTAAAAACAAGTAAAGTTATTGAAAATATATCTCGTTATGAGAGGTCAGATTTATAAGATCATGTATGCATGACGATTTGTCCTAGTATACAAACCGAAGTATTGTGCTGTATCTGTTTTTTTTCACCTTTTTTTTGTAAAAAATCAAATCTTCATCTATTATATTTATTTGTCATTTCCAGCTCACCATCACCCACGTCTGCACTCATACCTTCATCCCTGTTGTCTGTTTTAATAGAAATAAACGCTTCCTTCTAAAAATTAATAACCACATTGTATAAAAATATTGTAGATCCAGCTTGTAACTTAATTTTTTCAGCCCTTTCCTTTTTTAAGTTTTGTGTCGAATTTTGATAGTCTGAACATCCCTAGGCCCCTCAATGATGGTAACATTGAATTCGTCTTACATGATCTCTCAGCAACATTCTCTTCTTGTACAGAAACTGCATCTGTTTTCTAATATATGGGCATATCTACAAAAGAGGAAACCGGATAAGAACAGGCAGGCACGAGAGAAAAGATTTTCCGTTGATAAAAGTGAAATTTATGCTTTGATAACGCGGTCTAACCAATTTTACTAGTAACTTATGTGTTTTTAAACGTACTTAAAAACTTACCTCAGAATTATTTGTACTGAGTTTTTTGATGGGCTGTGAAATTTTTCGACCTTTCCATAACTTTGGTACTATCCATCGTGAACAATTTTCAGAGGAACAATAGCCCAAGAACAACAACAAACTTTAACTTCCACCATTAACGATCACAAATATTTAACATAATCTCAAGATGTGACGCAAATATTTCGCCACATGCTAGTCCGTTGGCCAGGATCTGTCCATGATGAATTAAAACAGGATATCTTCTTGGAGATAGTGGTTACACCTGCAAGAGATACCTTCTCACATCTTTCGTTAACTCTAGAAATCGAGCTGAGGAAACATCACAAAGTTATCAGAAACACAATTGAAAGGTGCTATTGAGTTTTAAACTGGCGATTTCCAACATTGTCGATAGTAACCAATATGATGATCTGCATTTGATGATGGTGAGTGCGCGGAATTATATCTTACTGCTGCAGTCCCCCAGTTGAAGTAAGGTGTGTTTTACGGCGAGCAGTGGGGACTCTTTGATGTGGTCCATCACCAGTGCGTCGCGTAAGGAGTATTCACAGCTGATAATAATACTACTTTTGCAGTACTATATTACTTCAAATAATAATACTCGGTGTCCTTTTTAATTTTTCAACCACAGTTATCTTGAAATGTTATATTATGTTGATATAGTCCAAAAGGAAAATATATTTGTCGACGCGGCAGCACTGGGTCGAGCGCCTGAGACTTTATTCCGCGCCTGGATGATGATGAAAATATCATGGCGACCTGGAAAACAAATTTACGATGAAAACTAATCTTGTAAATACGGTATTTTCTGAAAGTTTAATGAAGAAGTTTAATAAGTATTGATTCTAAGAATTTATATTTAAACTAAAATTAAAACTAAAAACACCCTATCTATTGATTAATTACTATTAACAAGTTTTTCTAATTCTAATTCTGCCTTCCTAATTTGTAAATTTTTTAATTTTAAATCCTTCTGAAAAAGTCTTTGCTTCTGACGAATTTCTAAATTGACCAAAAATAATTTTCGTTCGTAAATTTTCTGTTTAATATTTGAACCGCTTCTCTTTGGAACTCGGAATTTTTTTCGGCGGATTGGAATGGAGGAGGAAGGATTTTGGGGTTCGCTGTTGTTAACGTTTCCTGGAAAAAAATCTGTTGTAAAACTAAATGATTTTTTTTAAATCAATCTCAATATCATAAAAGATCATATTAAAAAGATGCATGACCATTTGTTCCAGTATACAAACCAAAATATTGTGCCCCATCATCAAAACTGTTTTCTAACGGCTGGAGTTGATCCGCCAACAACTCTCCCAAAATTGCGTCAGCTCCTGTTGGCAAAATGGGGCTGTAACTTCCACCTCCTGTTTTTTTTGTCTTTTTCTGTAATATTTCGAGTGTCATCTATACTCTAGATATACCTACAATATGGTAACCCATACCTTTTCTATTGTTTCCAGGACCTGTAAAGCTTCCGTAATTTCCATTTCTGGTTCACCTGTGTCCTGGGAGGTTCCCTCACCTCTGTTGTCCAGCTTATTTTCCAGGATTGAAATATATGTTTCTTTCTAGAAATTATTAATTGTGTTGTAAATACTAAAATATTGTACATTCCATTTGTATTTTACATTCTTTTCAGCCCGTTCCTTTTTCAAACTTCTCTTGGTATTCTGGTAAAAAGTCTTGAGCGACTGAACATCCCTAGGTCCCTCTGTAGTGACTGCGTTAAATTCGGTTTTTATTTCCTCCCAACAATTCAGTTTTTGTTTGACGGAAACGGCGTCGGTCTTCTTGTTTTCTATTATATGGGCATATCTATAATAGATGAAACGGGATAGGACCAGGTACGGGAGAACGGAGTTTTCGTAGCTTTATTAATAAAAGTGGAAGAGGTTTAATAAAGGAATATATGTATAAATGGGATCGGGAAACCTCATTGTTTGAGATCCATTATAAAAATAACTTCAAAGACTTTTCAGTATAAAAAATGAATGCAAGACACTGTTTGCTAACTGTTTAATAATAATCAAACTCATTTGCTATTAACTAACCGCTGTTAACCACTTTTACTAGAAACTTCGGTGTTTTTTAACATACCTACCTAAAAACTTACCTTTGAATTATTTGGGTTAATTCGCTTTTCTCGTGCCCGGTGAAATTTTTCGATCTCTTAGGTGCTTTTGAACTGGAGCTGCTCATCTTGAATGTTTTTAAGAGATAACACACCTCAAAAACACCGACGAAGGCCGCACCAATTCACCACAAAACAACGAATCAAAACGTAAATTTTTAACATAACCTCAAAATATCACGCAAATGCCATTTTATGCTGCGTTGCCGGTTGGTGCGCGCTATCAAATAGCGACTTGATGATAATCAGTTAACAAAGGCTTAATTATTGTTTCAGCAACCCAATCAAAGTTGATGATAATTAAATATTTGATGACAATCAGTTGATTGGAGATTTGATTTGCGTTTATGCAACCGGCCCTTAGCTACTTATACGTGTTAAACAAAAGCTGTATTTTATATATTTTTTATTATTATTATAAATATGTGTATTAGTTTTATTAATTAACAAAGCAAAATATATATTAACAATAATATTACAATGAGTTTTTAGTAATCATGTGTATTGAATTCAGGATCCTGAGTGGAGTAAAAATATTATAGTTCCCCAGTTTTAATTCGGTTTTATGATAATACCTCATTGCGTAATAGTATATTAAAGAACGAGTTTCATAAGGCAAATATTGAGGCACGAATCCAAGTTTATAGAACGAGCGGCGAAGCCGCGAGTTATATAAAGGATGAGTGCCTCAATGGCCTTATGAACGAGTTATTTATACTATTTTTTCTACCGCACGCGTTTTTTCCCAAAATTTAATTGAAATTTGCATTTTTTTTAATCTGGGGACTTTTGTCGTGGTTGGTGATGGGTCGGTCTGACACTAACCACGAAATATTTGAGGTTCGAATTTTCACAACAACAATTGTAATTCGAACCAATCCGAGTTTTTGTAATTTAAAATTGGTTAAAATGTCTTGCGAAGAAGTTACGCGTCCGGAAACATGGGAAATTTTAAGTTTAGATTTGCCACTGACATTCACCTGACATTTCTCGTCATTGCTACCAATCTTACCGATCTAAATTACACCAGATCTATTAAAGAACGCCTTTCCGCTATTAACGAACTGCTGTGACGTCATTTGCGTGCGTTAATAGCTCTATTAGAAAACCAAAAAACGTGGGCGGTAGAAAAAAGTTAATTTCCTTAACAACAGATTACTATGGCCGGTCCTGGCGGCTTGTTATAAAACTGAGTTCCTTGCCATAAATTAGAAAAATCAGCCGAGAACTCTAACAATTAGTTTATGGTAGAGCAGGCAATAAGGGTTTTACCTGGAAAGCCGCTTCCGTAAATTTTAGTGGCGCTCCTATCGGCAAAGTACTGAACTAACTGCTCAAATTCTGTCTAATTGATACCCATTTTTATCAATAATTGTTAGTTTTTGTTAAAAACTCTGCTAACCAATAGATCATTAATTTTCCGCTGATATTCCTGTTAAAATTATTCGACGTATTTTGCATTAATTTGTGGTATATTTTGATTTTAATAAACACATTATTATTTAAACAAATTGTACCACTAACAAACATTTAATGACTCTGCGTCCTGTAAAAAGTGATGTTTTATCCATGTGCGAATTTTCAAGCGATTCTATGATGGTTATGACTTAAAAAACTTGAAAAGAAAACATACAATGGTGCTTTTTTTACGATATTTCTCATCCATATTTTTTTAGTTGATTGAACTGGTCTCTGCGCTCTAGAATATGAAAAAATCTGCAGTTTGATGTATGATACATCTATATTAATATCATTTTTTCATACAAAAAACCAAAAAAATGTTATACCTCGTCTAGCGAGTCCCCTTAATGCGTGAATACCTTGGGCTTACTTTTTGATTTCTTAGTTATGATGGTGACTGAAATCCACATGTTGTAAGTTCCTTATTGTGAAAATATGACTATTTAAATTAAGAAAAGACGCAAAATATAAACCCCGCCCACCCGCCCTATCTCAATTGTGATGAAATTTTTTTATTCGTCGTAACCCGGGGGCAGAGCTTAATTGCAAAATTTTTATTTTTCTAACATATGGAACATGTTCTTAAGTAATCGTGTTGTACAAAAGAAACTAAATGTATTTAGTAAAAAACAAAGCTAAAAGATATTTTCATAGAACTTCCCCCGTCCCTGAAGTGCAGTACAACATACCTGAGTACGTTCTAAAACACTTCTGGTAACCTTTGGGTTCACTTAAAATGACAAGACAATAAAACACCATCACGCTAATTTGCACACAAAGCCCACCTGACGTAAAAAGGACAAAAATTTATGTAAAAGACATATAGCTATATAGAACTGAATAATTGAAAAATATTCAGTATTAAGTGTAACTTCGCTAAAATGACTACTTTCATAACTGAAAACTACCACTACCTCTTGGACACCGTTGGTGGTAAGTTTTATCTTTTTCGTAGTCACTTCATTCTTATTCTTCTTATCAAATACCAAATTTCAGACCCTCGAGTCAAAGATTGGTCCGGCGTAACTAGTCCCACCTTGGCCGTCAACATAATCGTCCTCTACCTTCTCTCCATCTACGTCTTCCTGCCCGCTCATATGAAAAACCGGGAGCCTTACAACCTCAAGATCTTCCTCTACTTCTACAACATCTTCCAAATCGTCTACTGTCTAGCACTCATCTATGGTATAGTATCTTCCGGTGTATCTTTATTCTGCCAACCCATAGATTACTCCACCAACAAGCAAGCCATGCGAACTCTAACCTGCCTCTACTACACTTATATCCTCAAAGGTATCGAACTGACCGAAACTGTCGTCTTCGTTCTTCGCAAAAAATACAACCAAGTTTCGTCGCTCCACGTGTACCATCATGTTTCGACTTTTGCTTTAAGCTGGATCATGGTCAAGTTTGTGGGAGGTGGAATGGTCGCTTTTCCGGTGGCAGTTAATAGTGGTGTTCATGCCCTTATGTACTTGTACTATTTTTTGGCAAGTTTGGGAGAAGAGTGGCAGAAGAAGCTGGAGAATTGGAAGCGCAGATTGACCATCTTCCAGATGATCCAGTTTTGTGTGCTGATCGTGCATTCGCTGCAGTCGCTGCATCCAGAGTGTCATGTACCGAAGCAGCTTCTGGCGATTTATCTTCCGGATGTGATTGTGGTGTTCTACATGTTTTGGGAGTTCTACCAGAAGAATTATAGTGAGCAGAAGAGGGACTGAGTGATTATGTATTGTGAATTTGTAAATATACGAGTATGTTTAAAAAAAAATTGGCCGAAGGTTATTTCGACAGAGCTTCCCTCGCCCCTGAAGTTTAGCCCAACAAATCCCGTAAAACCAGTGACAATATGAAATATATGTATATATTCAAAGCGGATAACCAACGTGGTTTAATTAATACAATAAAATGCCTCATTAATTTTTTTTTTTAGTCACCCGGTGACACTATGTATATTTAATAATAATATTTTGCATATTGAAGAGAGGATTTATTCGGCAAAATTATGGATGACGTCACCGACTTTTTAGGAGGGGTTAAACGAATAATTTTTGATTAACGGTTTACCATGATTACGATAACCTTAAAACGTTTGCTAGATTTCGGAGCATTCGGTTTTGCAATTTTGCAGATTTGACGTCATCCCATTGGTGGTGGGGATGATTAGCCAAATTTTGGTTAATACTTTACCATCTAGTAAACAACAGTCTTAACACACACAAAATTTGACGGACAGACGGCCGACAGATGGAAACGGAGGACCACTTTTTTCGTACTCTAGGCGTTTTGAAACGTCAAGAAAACATGAAAGTGGTACGTTGCTCGAAGGACTCGATTACTAACCTCTTTAGTTTACGCTTAAAAATTAAAATGTTTTTCTAAAATCGAAAAATTGAAAAAGCGAAATCTGAAAAGTCGAATAATCGAAAGTTTTTTGGAGATAAACCGGAACATCAAAAAATCGAAAAAGAAAAATTTCCAAAAATTTAAAAACCCAGAAATTCCCAAAAATGAAATGTTGAAAAAATGAGACGTCGAAAACTTGAAAAACGAGAAATCTAAAAATAGAAAACTTTCTAAAATTAAAAAATCGGGAAATCGAAACGTCAAAAAATCGTAAAATCAAAAATTTGAAAAATCGAGAACTCAAAAATTTTCAAAACTGAAATGTCGAAAAATTGGAAGATCGAAAAAAAAAACACCAATCAAACGAAATCGAAAAGTTAAAATCGAAATATTTAAATTAAAAAATTAAACATTTTAAAAATCGAAAAATTGGAAAACCGAAAAATCTAAAGCCTAGAAGTCGCAAAAACAAAAGAGTGAGAAATCAAAACATTAAAAAATCGAAAAATTTGAAAAATTGAAATGTCGAGTAACTAAAAAATCGAGAAACCGAAAAATCTACAAAAATCGAGAAATGGAAAAGTCGAAAAATCGAAATATTGAAAAATCCCAAAAAATCTAAACTCCAAAAATCGATTCATCGAGAAATCGAAACATCAATTCAAAGCAATCAATCAAACGAAATATTCCAAAATCGAAAAATTTATAAAAAAAAGAAAATCGGAAAGTTGAACAATCGAAAAATTGACACATCGAAATCTCGTTAAATCGCGAATAATGAAAAATTGAAAAATCAAAAAACTGAAAACGGAAAAATGGAAAAATCAAAAATTTTTAAAATCGACAAATTGAAGAACCGCAAAATCTAAAGCCTAGAAGTCGCAAAACCAAAAGAGCGAAAAATCTAAACATTAAACAATCGAAAAATTTGAAAAATTGAAATATCGAACAACTGAAAAATCGATAATCGAGAAACCGAAAGATCTAAAATTTAAAAAATTGAAAAACGAAATATTAAAAAATTATAGAATTGAAAAATTGAAACATCTAAAATTTAAAAATCAGAAATATAAAAAATCGAGAAATGGAAAAGTCGAAAAATCGAAATATTGAAAAGTCACAGAACTGAACGAGAAAATAAAAAAATCTGAAAGACGAAAAGAATCTAGGAACGTCAAAAATTGGAACATTGAAAAATCGGAAAATAGAAGAATTGCGAAATCGAAACATCAAAAAATCGAAAAACTGCAAAATGCAAAATTGAAAAATTGGTCTAAAGAGTTTAGACAGTACTTCCCTCGCTGTCGGAAACTTGACGACTGCATGCCTATTGTGTTTTTTTTCTCATTACATTTTTGTAGTGGGAATTTAAAAAAAAATTGCGATGACGTCATCAACATTTTTGCAAGGACACGTATATCAGTTGGGATAGATGTAGTGTAATACTAAGAATAAAATTATTATATTCTCAAATTTTCGGGAAAATGAATTGGGTCGTTTGAATATTGATTTGTAATAATCAATAAAATAACGAAACAATTTACTCACGTATACCTACGTATCAGAGGCAACTGAAAATCGTGTATGTATAAACATTGTTAATTTAAGATGACAGGCGTAACAGCATACGTGAGAGCCAAACACAGAAACTGTAAACAAAACGACCGTCGGTTTTATTGCTTCGACTTCCGCTTATTATATAAAACATTGGGTTTTATTTTAATTCTTGACGGTGAAATTCACAATTGGTTGATTATAAACATGTCTATTTCACATTCGCGGAATCAAGTGAACGCATAAAACAAATGCAGGTCTGTAATGTTAAAGTCGATGTAAATAAGCGTGCTACCCTTATGTTTCAACCGAGTTTTTCCTTTAACAAATTTTGTGTCTACCAAATTGGGTTGGTTGGGGTGTAATACTAATAATAAGTGTTGCCTTTAATTTAATCAATAAAATAAATTGACTTCATTAATTTTTTTGAACCACCTCTTAAGAAAATCTAAAAAATATGAATGGAATGATAAATCACAAGTACAAACTCATCATATTTTTTGCATTTTAGATAAGATTTATTCAGCAAAATTTAAGGGTGACGTCATCAATTTTTTTAGGAGGGATGAACAAATACATTTTGAACAAAAGTTTACCATGCTTATAATAACTTTAAAATATTCCCAAGATTTCAAAGCATTCGGTTTTGTAATTCCTGATTAAATCGATAAAATAAATTCACGCCTTCATTAATTTTTTTGAGTCACCCTGCATATGCAAATCCAAAAATATGAATGGAATGATAAATCACAAGTACAGACTCATCATATTTTGTACATTTTAGATACGATTTATTCGGAAAACTTTTGAGCTGACGTCATCAGTTTTTTGTAGAAGATAACCAAATATATTTTGACTAAAAATTTATTATGCTCTTTATAACCTTAAAACATCTGCAAGATTTCAAAGCATTCGGTTTTGTAGTTCCTGATTAAATCAATAAAATAAATTTACGCATTCATTATTTTTTTTGAGTCACTCTGTATATGCAAATCCAAAAAATATGAATGGAGTGATAAATGACAAGTACAGGCTCATCATATTTTGTACATTTTAGATATGATTTATTCGGCAAACTTTCGAGCTGACGTCATCAAGTTTTTGGAGGGGATAAGCAAATATATTTTGACTAAACATTTATTATGCTCTTTATGACCTTAAAACATCTGCAAGATTTCAGAGCATTCGGTTTTGTAGTTCCTGATTAAATCAATAAAATATATTTACGCATTCATTAATTTTTTTGAGTCACCCTGTATATGCAAATCCAAAAAATATTAATGGAGTGATAGTTCACAAGTACAGACTCATCATATTTTGTACATTTTAGATATGATTTATTCCACAAACTTTTGAGCTGACGTCATCAAGTTTTTGGAGGGGATAAGCAAATATTTTTTGACTAAAGATTTATGATGCTCTTTATAGCCTTAAAACATCTGCAACATTTCAAAGCATTCTGGTTAGCAGATTAAAAATTAAATTTCAAAATGTTGTTTTATAATTTTGATTTTTTTTCCAAAAATCTGGACGTTTCGGGTGAAAAGTCGATTCAGAGTTGTAAACTACATGTGTAGGACTATGTTATTTTATACAATTGAAAACCCATTTACTATGTACAATTTTGAAGTGACGTCATCGCTTTAGTGGTGGGGATGATTCGACAAATTTTGGTTAGCGTTTTACCATCTACATGATATTCTTAATATAAGTACAAAATTTCACAACAATCGGTCGAGTACTTTCGGAGATTATCTGTCTAATAAAAATCCGTGACAACAGACGGACAGACGGACAGACGGACAGACGGACAGACGGACAGACAGACGGAAATGGGAGACCTATTTCTTCGTCTTCCAGGGGTCATGAAAGATCGAGAAAACGTAAAAGTAGAGAGTCGGCCGACGGACTCGATTACAATACTTCCTTTGCTTACGCTCGGGAAGTAAAAATCAAAAATTTTAAAAATCCAAAAATTTAAAAACCGAAAAATCTAAAACCTAGAAGTCGCAAAACCAAATGAGTAAGAAATTGAGAAATCAAAAAATCGAAAAATCTAAAATTTCAAAAGTTGAAAAATCTGGAAACCGAAACATTAAAAATCGAAAAGTCGAAAAATCGAAGAATCGATATATTGGATCTCAAAACTGGATGACAAAATCAAAAAATCCAAAGTTCAAAAATTGATCAATTGAGAAATTGAAAATTTAGAAACGTCAAAAATCGAAACATCAATAAACCGTAAAATTGAAAAATCAAAATATAAAAACCGAAAAATTAAGGAAAAGTCGAAAAATCGAGAAATCGAGAAATGGACAAATAAAAAAAATTGAAGAGTCCAAAATTAAGCAATTAAAAAATCGATTAATCGAGAAATCCAAAAATTGAAACGTTGAAAAATTTACAATTTAAAAATCGAAAAACTGAAAAGTCGGGAAATCGAAACGTCAAAAAAAATCGAAAAATTGAATTATTGAAAAACCCCAAAACTGAAACACAGGAAAATTGATAAATCGAGAAATGGGAAAAACAAAAAATCGAAAGGCTGAAAAAACAAAAAAATTGTTTAACCGAAAATTTCTAAAAGTCAAAAATTGAAACAGTGTAAAATCAAAACTGAAATATCGAAAAACTGAAGAACCAAAAACCTGAAAAAATTGTAGAACTAATTAAATTAAATTAAACATTAAAAATCGAAAAATTGAAAAATCGAAAATCTAAAATTCGGAAAAATAAAAAATCCAGAAATGTTTGAAGAGGTCAAAAAATCGAATCGAAATATTGAAAAATCCCAAAACTGAATGAGAAAATCAAAAATGCTAAAAGTCCAAAAATCGATCAATCAAGAAATCGAAAGTCGAAAAATCAAAAAATGGAGTAATCGAGAAATTGAGAAATCGAAAAGTCGAAAATTTAGAAACGTCAAAAATTGTAACATTGAAAAATCGGAAAATTTAAAAATCGAAAAATTAAAAAACTGAGACAGTAAAAATTTCAGAAATCGAGAAATGGGAAAGTCAAAAAATGGCATAATCGAGAAGTCCAGAAATCGAAACAATGAACAGTAGAAAAATCAAGAAATGGGAAAATTCCAAAATTGAGCTATCAAAAAGTCAAAAATCGATTAACTGAGATTGAAAAAATAAAGAGAGAAATTGAGAAATGGAAAAGTCGAAAAATCGAAAGGCCGAATAATCAAAAAAATAATTAAACGAGAAAGTGAGAAATCGAAAAATCGAAAATTTCTAAAAAGCAAAAACTGAAAGTGCAAAATCAAAACTGAAATATAAAAAAATTCAGAAATCGAAAAATCAGAAAATCGAAAAAGTTCAAAACACCGAAATATAGGAAAATTATTAAGAAATTGAAAAATAAAAAAATCGGAAATTCGAAAATATGTAGAATCGAGAAATTGAAGAATCGACAAATTGAAAAATTTCAAAACTGAAATATCGAAATATTGAGTATTCCAAAAATTGAAAATCGAGAAATTGAAAAATTGAAGAGCAAAAAAATTTTAAAATCCCAAGAACGAAATATCGAAATATCTCAAAATGGAGAACAACGAAAAATTGAAAAATCGAAAATTGAAAAACGGAAAATTTTAAAAATTGAAAAACCGAAAAATCGAAAGCCTAGAAGTCGCAAAACCAAAAGAGCGAGAAATTGAAAACTCTAAAATCTAAAAATTTGAAAAATAGAAATATCGAAGGACAAAAAAATCTAAAAATCAAAAATTTAAATAATTGATAAATTAAAATATCAAAAATTGTAGAATCGAACAATCGATAAACCGAAGCATTAAAAAAACTGAAAAAATCAAAAATCCCAAAACTGAATGAGAAAATAAAAAAATCTAAGAGTCCAAAAATCGATTAATCGAAAAATCGAATGCTGAAAAATAAAAAATGGATTAATCGAGAAATCGAAAAATTGAAGAATGGCGAAATCGAAACATAAAAAAATCGAAGAAATGAAAAATCTAAAACTTAAAAATCGAAAAATTAAAAAACTGAAAAAGTAAGAATTCCAGAATCCACAAATGGTAAAAGTAAAAAAAATCTAATAATCGCGAAGTCGAGAAATCGAAACATTGAAAAGTCGGGAAATAAGAAAATTCCAAAATTGAGCAACCAAAAATACAAAAATCGAGTAATTGAGAAATCGAAAATTTAGAAACGCCAAAAATGGAAAAATTGAGAAATGGAAATGTTGAAAAATTCCAAAAGTGAAACAGAAAAATTGAGAAATCAAGAAATGGGAAAAACAAAAAATCGAGAAATTGAGAAATCGAAAATTTCTAAAAGTCAAAAATTGAAACAGTGTAAAATCAAAACAAAAATATCTGAAAATTGAAGGACCAAAACCCGAAAGGTAGAAAAATTAAAACTGAAAAATCGAGAAATCGAAACATTGGAAAATTAAGAAATCGAGAAATGGGAAAATCAAGAAACCGAAAAGTCGAAAAATCGAAAAAGTTCATAAGACTGAAATATCGGCAAATTAAGAAATCGAAAAATTGAAAAATCTCAACACTGAAATATCGAAAATTACAAAAATTGAGAAGTTCAGGACTGTATTACTTTTTAACATTTAAATAAACATTATTCGGCAAAATTGTAAGATAACATCGTCAATTTCTGAGGGGTGCACGAACGAACACATTTTAGTTAACGATTTCAAAATGTGTCGTTATACAATTTTGGTCGCCTAGGACAAAATTCAACACTTAGTTTCGCAGATTACCTGTCTAATAAAAATCCGGACAGACTGCAGACAGACAGACGTAAACGGGAGATCTATGTATTCCATTACAACACTTCTTTAGTTTAGACTCGGAAAGTGAAAATATATTTACAACGACCAGATCGGCATCCAGATTTGACGCCACTTGATTTTTTATAGTAAGAACACATGTTATATGGGCTACTACATTACTTGCGCCCGTTCAAACGAAGAATAAAGAAGTGTAGAGAATTTTGATACCCCATTCTGTTATTGACGTATCTTCTAGGCCTAGGGCATTATAAACACTACTCAAAATGTAACATTTCAGCCGAATAAGTGTTGAAAAAGTGTACACAAAGAAAGTACCAATTTGCATACAAAGAGCGTCCAATGTCACAACCTATATAGAATTTCGTGGGGTACTGTTATATAACCCAGTTTGATTGTCAAGGATTCAGTAAAATGGCAAGCTTCCTAGTTGAAAAGTATTTCTACGTTTTGGACGAATTGGGCGGTAAGTTGTGGCTACTTTACACTTTTACAGCCAGTATACTGAATATTGTCACTAAAACCCAGACATTTAAACTTGTTGTATCCAATGTTTACTTTTAGATCCTCGTCTTAAGGACTGGATCACCGTCTCCAGCCCAGGTCCCACTTTAACCATAATCGCCATCTACATCCTCTTGACCTACGTCTGTTTGCCGGCCTACATGAAACACCGAGCACCTTACAACCTCAAGACTTTCCTCTATTTCTACAACATCTTCCAAATCGTCTACTGTCTAGGTATCCTCTACGTTGGACTAACTTCCAATTTGACTATATTTTGTCAACCCGTGGATTACTCCACCAACTCAGTGGCATTACAAGCGTTACACTGCACTTACTACACCTTCGTTCTCAAAGCTATAGAACTAATCGAAACTCCTATTTTCGTGCTTCGCAAAAAGTACCAGCAAGTTAGCAAGCTCCACGTGTACCACCACATTTCGACTTTTGTTATAGGATGGGTTGGTGTGAGATTCGTGGCTGGGGGGATGGTTCTTTTTCCAATTATGATTAACACTTTCCTTCATGTTTTGATGTATACTTACTACCTATTGTCAAGTTTGGGGAAAGAGTGGCAGATGAAGCTGGAGAAATGGAAACCCAGGCTGACCATGCTTCAGATGGTTCAGTTTATGGTGATGATTGTTCATTCGATGCAGTCACTGCATCCAGAATGTCATATACCGAAGCCGATGCTGCTGATTTATCTTCCGAACGTATTTGTGGTGTTCTATATGTTTTGGGAGTTTTATCAGAAGAATTATATTGACCGGAAGAAGGACTGAGGGGTTTCTGTTTGTGTACTTATTTGATTGAATGTAATATTTATTTGTATGAAACTAAATCTAATTAAACTGAGTTTTTAGTTGTTTACTTAAATTTCAAAAATGCGTAACTCCAACACAGGTCACAGCAGATGACCAAGAGAACGCTAAATAATGTTAAACAATCTTTTTTTGCTGTTGTTTTAAAAAATTTGATGATTTTTTAAAATAACAGTCATCTGTGTTGTCCCCTAAACTAAGAATAAAAGCGTTTACAAAATTATGATACCTCAATTTCTTTTTGAGACATAAAATTTCACCAAGGAAACTAAAACCATTATTGAAAACGTCAGATTTTAGTGCAACAATTGTGTAAAAACTGCATACAATGCATGCACTAATTTGCACACAAAGAGCGTCTAACGTCATAATCATAACCGATATGAATTTTGGGGTGTGAAAAATTTAAACATCGAAAAAAATCGAGATATGGAAATGTCAAGAAATCGAAAAATAAAAATTTGGAAGCCTCAAAAATTGAAATACTTACAAAAAAAAAAGAAAATTTGAATTTGTATATAATATTATTCTGGGGTATGTAAACTTTTTTTTAAATAATAATAAAGGTTCTATCTATCAAATCGAAAAATTGAAAAAGTAAAAACTCGAGAATTCGAGATCTGGAAAAGTCGAAAAATCCAAAAATTAATGAATTGGAAACCTCAAAAACTGAAAAATCGAAAATCAAGAAGTCGAAAAATTGAAACAGTGACAATTCGACAAATCGAGAAATAGGAAAATCAAAAAAGCGAAAAGTTGAAAAAATGAAGCCAAAAAATCAAAAGATCGATTAATCGAGAAATCGAAAATTTAGGAACCTCAAAAATTGAAATATTGAAAAATCCTAAAAATTAAAACATCGAAGAATTGAAGAATCGAAATAATGAAAAATCAAGAACCTGAAAAATCCAAAAATTGAGAAACCGAGAAATGGAAAAGACAAAAAACCGAAAAATTGAAAAATCAAAATACTAAATATGGAAAAATTAAAGACACGAAAAACTGAAAAAGCAAAAAATCGAGAAACCGAAATATTGAGAAGACGAGAAATCGAGAAATGGGAAAACCAAAAAATCGATTAATCGAGAAATTGAGAAATCGAAAAATCGAACATTTAGAAACTCCAAAAATTCAACGAGTTTTCCTTAAAAATGCATTCTATTGACGAATTTAGACATAAGAAATGAAACTTTTAGTTAATATTTTTACGAAATAAATCCATACGACGCCTATGGGCCGTCGAGAACTTTCTGGTCTGTACGGCGATGATGACTCATCGTCAATGACAGCGACTGAGCGGCGGACCGCTAGAAAAAAGCCTGGAAGCGGAAAGATCCCGATCGCCGGTAAATAGAGGACCCCTTGGGGAAAGAGGATTTATTCAATCAATCGAGTCCACGAGAGTACAGTCAAGTTCCAGCCGGAATTATTTTGTACATAATCGCTGTGTAATAATCAGTCGTGTAATTCGAGTTATTAAGAAATAAATTATTGAGTTTTACCCACGTCTATTTTATTCACCGATCAATGTAACAATATTATTTTTAAATTTTATGTTATTTATATTTATTACACTTTGTGAACTTTTTTTAAGTAATACCAATAAAGTTTCTATCTATCAAATTGAAAAATTAAAAAAGTAAAAACTCGAGAAATCGAGATATGGAAGTCAAAATCAAAAAATTAAAGAATCGAAAATCGGAAAAACTGAAAAATCGAAAATCGAGAAGTCGAGGCATTTCCTATTCGACAAATCGAGGACTAGAATAATAAAGAAATTGAAAAGTCAAAAAATCAAAAAATCGATTAATCGAGAAATCGAAAAATCAAAAATTTAGAAACCTCAAAAATCGAAACATTGAAAAATCCAAAAATTTAAGAATTGAAAAATGAAAAATCGAAACATTAATAAATCGAAAAACTGAAGAATCGAAAGATTGAAAAATCCCAAAACTAAAACATCGAAAAATTGAAAAATCAAAGAAAAAGTGAAGAATGAAAGTATTGAAAAATCCCAAAATTGAAAAAATCAAGTACCTGAAAAATCGCAAAATTGAAAAATCGAAAAATTTAAAAATGAAAAACCTGAAAAATTGGAGAATCGAAAAACTGAAAAGTCGAAAAATCTAGAAATCCAGAAGTTGAAACATTGAAAAGTCGAGAAATCGAGAAATAAGGAAATAGAAAAAATCGAAGTTAAAAAATAAAAAAATTGATTAATCGAAAAAACGAAAATTCGAATATTTAGAAACCTCAAAAACTGAAATAATTAAAAAAAGAAGAATTTAAAAAACGAATCATTTCAGAAATTGAAAAAGTAAAAATCGAAACATTGAAAAATCGCAAAAATGAAATATCGAATAATTCAAAAATCAAGAACCTGAAAAATCGAAAAGTTGAAAAGTGGTGAAACTGAGAAATCGAAAAATCGAAAATTTAGGAACGTCAAAAACTGAAATATTGAAAAATCGCAAAATTTAAAAATAAAAATAAAAAAATGAAGAATAGAAAAACTGAAAATTCGAAAAATCTAGAAATCCGGAAGTTGTAACATGGAAAGTCGACAAATCGAGAAATAAGAAAATAAAAAAATCGAAGTCGAAAAATGGAGAAATGGAAGTTGAAAAATCAGAAAATTGAAATAATTAAAAAAGAAAAATTGAATCGAAAAATTGAAAAAGCGAGAAATCGAAATACCAAAAAATCGAAAAATTTAAAAAACGAATAATTTGAAAAATCGAAAAAGTGAAAATCGAAACATTGAAAAATCCCAAAAATGAAATATTGAATAGTTCATACATCAAGAACCTGAAAAATTTAAAAATCGAAAAATGAGAAAATCAAAAAATCAAAAAGTTGAAAAGTGGAGTAATTGAGAAATCGAAAAACCGAAAATTTAGAAACGTCAAAAACTGCAATATTGAAAAACCGCAAAATCGAAAAATCGTAAAAATTAAATATAGGAGAAATTGAGAAATCGAAAAATTGAAAATTTAAAATTCAAAAACGAATAATCTGAAAAATTGAAAAATCGAAGAAAAATTGAAGAAATGAATAACTGAAAAATCAAAAAATTGAGAAATGGAAGTCGAGAAACGAGAAATGGGAAAATCAACATATTGAAAAGTCGGAAAATCAAAATAATTGAAGAAATTGTCCTTGAAAATGCCTTCTATTGACGGATTCAGAAATAAGAAAATTTTAGTTGAAGTGAATATTATTATTATATTTTATAATGTTAATTATGTTTATTACACTTATTGCATATAATATTATTCTGGACGTTTGTAAACTTTATTTTAGGAATAACAATAAAGCTTCTATGCATCAAATCGAAAAATTAAAGAATCGAAAATCTGAAAAACTGAAAAATCGAGAAGTCGAGAAATTGAAACATTTCCAATTCGACAAATAGAGGATTAGGAAAATCAAAAAATTGAAAAGACAAAAAATAAAAAAGGATTAGTCGATTAATCGAGAAATCCAAAATTTAGAAACCTCAAAATCTGAAACATTGAAAAATGGCAAAAATCGAAATATTGAAAAACTGAAGAATCGAAATATTGAAACATCTCAGAATTGAAATATCGAAAAATTGAAAAATCAAAAACCTGAAAAATCGAAAATTTGAAGAATTAAAAAGTCAAAAAATCGAAACATTGGACAATCAAAAAATCGAAAAGTGGAGAAATTGAGAAGCTGAAAATTTAGAAACTTCTGAAACTGAAATATTGAAAAACGGTAAAAATGAAATATCGGAAGATTGAGAAATCGAAAATTTGAAACATTTCAAAACTCAAAAATCGAAAAATTATTATTACGTTTTTGATTTTTTCCCCAAAAATCTCAATGTCTAGGATAACAACACGGATTCATAACCACAAGTTCAAGACTATATTATCTTTTTAACATTTAAATAAACTTTATTCGCCAAAATTGTAGGATGACCATATGCTAATCCCTATGTTTCGGGAGTTTTGAGTTTAACCAGAAGAATTATGTTGACCAGAAGATAAATTAATACGTTATGATAGATAAAATCATCCAACAATCGTAGTTTTAAAAATTTTGGTTATTTTTTAATAACATGAAGGATATCAAATTAATAAATTTAAGTCTGCACCTTCAAGCTAAGAATAAAAGCGTTTACCGAATTTTAAAACATCAATCTACTTTTGAGATATAAAGTTTCAACCGGGGAACTGCAAGTATTATTGAAAACGCTTCGTTTTAGTCCGACAAGTGTGAAAAAAGTGCACTAATTTGCATACAAAGAGCGTCTAGTGTCATAACCTATATAGAATTTTGTGGTGGATGGTTATATACAACAGGTTGAACGACAAGGGGTCAGTAAAATGGCGAGTTTCCTAGCTGAAAAATATGTCTACGTCATGGACGACTTGGGCGGTAAGTTGAACGGTTGAACCATTGAACATTTTTTCTAAAATATTGTTTTTAGATCCTCGTGTCAAAGACTGGATCAGCGTTTCCAGCCCCGCTCTCGCTTTAACCACAATCTTCATCTACCTCCTCTCGATCTACATCTTCTTGCCCGCCTACATGGAAAACCGGACGCCTTACAACCTCAAGACTTTCCTCTACTTCTACAACATCTTCCAAATCGTCTATTGTCTTTCACTCATCTACGGAATCGCAACTTCCGGTTTGACTTTATTTTGTCAACCCGTGGATTATTCCACTGACAAACAAGCAATGAGAACTCTAATCTGCCTCTACTACACTTACGTCCTCAAAGGCATCGAATTTATCGAAACCGTCGTCTTCATTCTTCGCAAAAAATACAACCAAGTTTCGCCGCTCCATGTGTACCATCACGTCTCGACTTTTGTTTTACTGTGGATCATGGTCAAGTTCGTGGGTGGTGGAATGGTCGCTTTTCAAATTGCAGTTAACAGTGTTGTTCACACCCTCATGTACTCTTACTACTTTTTGGCAAGTTTGGGGGAAGAGTGGCAAAAGAAACTGGAGAAATGGAAGCCCAGACTGACTGTTTGTCAGATGGTACAGTTTGCTGTACTGATTGTGCATTCGCTGCAGCTCCTGTACCCGGATTGTCATATGCCGACGGAGCTTCTGGTGATTTATCTTCCGGATGTGTTTGTGGTGTTCTACATGTTTTGGGAGTTTTATAGGAAGAACTATCATGACGAGAAGAAGGATTGAGTTTTTTTTTGTACGAATACCTGTATACCTAACAAAATTCTGATATGACGTCGCACATTTTTATTTCCAGTCATCATGACCTTGTTCGACGCCAAACTTGAATGAACATCCGATACGACTGGTTTTATTATTTCTTTTGTTACTATATTTATCGATGGCATAAGTTACAAAAAAAAACAAAAACTTTGGGATGGTCAGGTTTGCGGAAGATTAAATTGTTACGGTGTCTACTGCGATTAACAGTACATTTCACGGTTTGATGTACATTTATTACGTTGATTTTTTTTTACGTGACTTGCAAAAATTGCAGTGTAAACTATGAACTTATGTGGGTGATTTTTTTCAAATTAGAATACCTGAACAAAGCATTCCATTGTGTAAAATTAACTACTGCTATTGTTATTAGAGTGACAGGTACTATATGACCATGATAAATTATTAATCGGATTGCAGTGACGTTACTAGCTCGAAACATTTTTGGCGATGTTTGCGCAGGTGTGGCTCATTGTTGAAATTTTTATGTATTGTCAGTTAAAATTTTTTTTATGATATTTAAAACTCAATGACTTAATTCTGTCGCATGTAATTATGCAGGCGATCAAGAAAAAACGTCTTCAAGTTGGCCCTAGACGCTGGAAAGAACTAAATAATAATAATAATAATAATTTTATTTCCAGCAGACTACAAGTCTATAGTGGAACATAATACTAACAAACAATATAAATGAAAAAAACTCATTCTTATTCTAATTAACAATAAAATTGGCAATAGTAAAGAATAAAATGAAAATAAATAAGAGACATATATCAAAAATGTAGTAAATAACATACCATCTAAGATAAAAAGGGGTGGGTGGGCGGGGCTAGTACCTGCTAAGAAGAGAAAGATCCCGATCGCCGCGATTTATTCAGTCAATCGAGTTCACGAGAGTACAGTCAAGTTGCGCCAGAATTATTTTGTACATAATCGCTGTGTAATAATCAGTTTTGTAAATCGAGTTATTAAGAAATAATTGTTGAGTTTTACCCACGTCGATTTTATTCACCGATCAACGTAACAATATTATTTTTAAATTTTATAATGTTATTTACCTTTACTACACTTATTGCATATAACATTATTCTGGACATTTGTGAACTTTTTTTAGGTGGTAACAATAAAGCTTCTATTTATCAAATCGGAAAATTGAAAAGACAAAAACTCGAAAAATCGAAGATAGAAAAATAAAAAAAATTGAAAAGTCAAAAAATCAAAAAAATGGTTAATCGAGAAATCGAAAAATCAAAAATTGAAACATTGAAAAATTCAAAAACTTAAGAAGTGAAAAATGAACAATCGAGAAATCGAAACAATAATAAATTTAAAAACGAAAATACTGAAAAATTCCAAAATTGAAAAATCAAGTACCTGAAAAATTGAGAAATCGAAAAATCGAAAATTTAAACACGTCAAAAACTGAAATATTGAAAAATCGCAAAATTGAAAAATCGAAAAATTTAAAAATGAAAAACCTGAAAAATTAAAGAATCGAAAAACTGAAAAATCGAAAAATCTAGAAATTCAGAGTTGAAACATTGAAAATCGAAAAAGCGAAAATTCTAAAATTTAGAAGCCTCAAGGATTGAAATAATTAAATGACGAAAAATTGAAGAATCGAAATTCCAAAAAATTGAAAAATTTAAAAAGCGAATAATGTGAGAAATTGAAAAAGTTAAAATCAAAATACTGAAAAATCCCAAAAATGAAATACATCGAACATGAAAAATCGAAAAATTGAGGAATTAAAAAATCGAGAAATCGAAAATTTAGAAACGACAAAAACTGAAATATTGAAAAATCGCAAAATTTTAAAATGAAAAACCTGAAAAATTGAAGAATCGAAAAACTGAAAAGTCGAAAAATCTACAAATCCAGAAGTTGAAACATTGAAACGTCGACAAATCGAGAAATAAGAAAATAAAAAATCGAAGTCGAAAAATGGAGAAATCGAAGTTAAAAAATCAAAAAATTGATTAATCGAAAAAACGAAAATTCGAAAATTAAGAAGCCTCAAAAATTGAAATAATTAAAAAAAGAAAAATTTTATCGAAAAATTGAAAAATCGAGATATCGAAATACCAAAAAATTTGAAAAAGTAAAAAAAACGAATAATTTGAAAAATTGAAAAAGTAAAAATCGAAATATTGAAAAATCCCAGAAATGAAATACCTACATCAAATACTTCAAAAATCGAAAAATCGAAAATTTAGAAACGAAAAAAACTGAAATATTGAAAAATCGCAAAACTTTAAAATGAAAAACCTGAAAAATTGAAGAATCGAAAAACTGAAAAGTCGAAAAATCTAGAAAACCAGAAGTTGAAACATTGAAAAGTCGACAAATCGAGAAATAAGAAAATAAAAAAATCGAAGTCGAAAAATGGAGAAATCGAAGTTAAAAAATCAAAAAATTGATTAATCGAAAAAATGAAAATTTGAAAATTTAGAAGCCTCAAAGATTGAAATAATTAAATAATGAAAAATTGAAGAACCGAAAAATTGAAAAATCGAGAAATCGAAACATCAATAAATCTAAAAACTGAAGACATGAAATATTGAAAAATCCCGGAACTAATACATCGAAAAATTGAAAAATCAAAGAAAAAATGGAGAATAAAAATATTGAAAAATCCCAAAATTGAAAAACGTCAAAAACTGAAATATTGAAAAATTGCAAAATTGAACAATCGAAAAATTTAAAAATGAAAAACCTGAAAAATTAAAGAATCGAAAAACATTGAAAAGTCGAGAAATTGAGAAATAAGAAAATAAAAAAAATCGAAGTCGAAAAATGGAGAAACCGAAGTTAAAAAATCAAAAAATCGATTAATCGAAAGAGCGAAAATTTAGAAGCCTCAAAAATTGAAACAATTAAATTATGAAAAACTGTAGAATCGAAAAATTGAGAAATTGAAATACCAAAAAAATTGAAAAATTTAAAAAACGAATAATTTGAGAAATTGAAAAAGTAAAAATCGAAATACCGAAAAATCTCAAAAATGAAATACATAGAATAATTCAAAAATCAAGAACTTGAACAATCGAAAAATTGAGGAATTAAAAAATCGAAAAGTTGAAAAGTGGTGAAATTGAGAAATCAAAAATTCCAAAATTTAGGAACGACAAAAACTGAAATATTGAAAAATCACAAAATTTAAAAATGAACAACCTGAAAAATTGAAGAATCAAAAAACTTAAAATTCGAAAAATCTAGAAATCCAGAAGTAGAAACATTGAAAAGTCGACAAATCGAGAAATAAGCAAATAAAAAAATCGAAGTCGAAAAATGGAGAAATCGAAGTTAAAAATTCAAAAAATCGATTAATCGAAAAAGCGAAAATTCGAAAATTTAGAAGCCTCAAAAATTGAAATAATTAAATAATGAAAAATTGAAAAATTTTAAAATCGAATAATTTGAGAAATTGAAAAAGTAAAAATCGAAATATTGAAAAATCTCAAAAATGAAATTCATAGAATAATTCAAAAATCAAGAACCTGAAAAATCGAAAAATTGAGGAACTAAAAAATCGAAAAGTTGAAAAGTGGTGAAATTGAAAAATCAAAAAATTTAAAATTTAGAAACGACAAAAACTGAAATATTGAAAAATCGCAAAAATTTAAAAGTGAAAAACCTGAAAAATTGAAGAATCAAAAAACTGAAAAGTCGAAAAATCTAGAAATCCAGAAGTTGAAACATTGAAACGTCGAGAAATCGAGAAATAAGAAAATAAAAAAAATCGAACTCGAAAAATGGAGAAATCGAAGTTAAAAAATCAAAAAATCGATTAATCGAAAAAGCGAAAATTCGAAAATTTAGAAGCCTCAAACAATCAAATAATTAAATAATGAAAAATTGAAGCATCGAAAGATTGAGAAATCGAAATACCAAAAAATTGAAAAATTTAAAAAACCAATAATTTGAGAAATTGAAAAAGTAAAAATCTAAATATGTACTGAAAAATCCCAAAAATGAAATACATAGAATAATTAAAAAATCAAGAACCTGAAAAATCGAAAAATTGAGGAACTAAAAAATCTAAAAGTTGAAAAGTGGTGAAAATGAGAAATCAAAAAATCTAAAATTTAGAAACGACAAAAACTGAAATATTGAAAAATCGCAAAATTTAAAAATGAAAAACCTGAAAAATTGAAGAATCGAAAAACTTAAAAGTCGAAAAATCTAGAAATCCAGAAGTTGAAACACTGAAAAGTCGACAAATCGAGAAATAAGAAAATAAAAAAAAAATCAAAAAATTGGTTAATCGAAAAAGCGAAAACTCGAGAAATTTAGAAGCCTCAAAAATTGAAATAATTAAATAATGAAAAATTGAAAAATTTGAAAAACGAATAATTTGAGAAATTGAAAAAGTAAAAGTCGAAATACTGAAAAATCCCAAAAATGAAATACATAGAATAATTCAAAAATCAAGAACCTGAAAAATCGAAAAATTGAGGAACTAAAAAATCGAAAAGTTGAAAAGTGGTGAAATTGAGAAATCAAAAAATCGAAAATTTAGAAACGACAAAAACTGAAATATGTATTGAAAAATCGCAAAATTTAAAAATGAAAGACCTAAAAATTGAAGAATCGAAAAACCTAAAAGTCGAAAAATCTAGAAATCCAGAAGTTGAAACATTGAAAAGTCGACAAATCGAGAAATATTTAAGAAAACAAAAAATCGAAGTCGAAAAAATTGATTAATCGAAAAAACGAAAATTCGAAAATTTAGAAGCCTAAAAAATTGAAATAATTAAAAAAAGAAAACTTGAATCGAAAAATTGAAAAATCGAGAAATCGGAATACCAAAAAGTGAAAAATTTAAAAAACGAATAATTAACTAAAAATCGAAATATTGAAAAATCCCAAAAATGAAATATTGAATAATTCAAAAATCAAGAACTGAAAAATATAAAAATCGAAACATGAGAAAATCAAAAAATCGAAAAGTTGAAAAGTGGAGTATTTGAGAAATCGAAAAATCGAAAATTAAGAAACGTCAAAAATT